AGAGACAAGAACAGTTCACTCTATAAGTGTGAGGAAACGGTTCAACCAAACCAATGAAAAACTGCATAAAATTACAACAAGAAATTTACAATTATAGGTTTTTCCATCTCAAATCAGGCAAATCTTTCAAACAACTTCTGTTTGATCAGTGGAAGTTTTTGCTTCGATATGAGGTCTTTATTTAGAGACAGATTTATTTAGAGTACTGGCTAGTTAAATGTGAAAAAAAGAAGAAAATATATAGTTCTTTCTCTCGTTCTTTCTCTTATTACCACATTAATATTAAACTTTCACTTACCACAAACTTGTCAAGCCCCGTGCTTCCTGCATTCGCTACAAAAATGCCTGAATTGTGTGAAAAGGTGAGTTTCTCTGGCCTACGATGGAAGTCCTTACTCTCGGCCTCTCCGCAGTCCAAGTAGAGACGGACCTCATCATGCTCCACCACCACCTGACAGGCAGAGACCACAGACGTGACCGGGATCAGTCCATAATGACTCATCTTAATGGAAGAGTCTTTTCATCTTTTGTCGTTAACCTGGATGAAGCTCACCGTGAATCGTGTCCACTGGTCAGTCATATCCGGGACGCTAAAGGCAGCCGCTTTGTGGCTGTGGGAGGCCTGCTCCTGGTCAGTGTAGTACAGTAGGATGCTCTGGAGGCCCTCGCGAACTGGAGTGAGGGCCAAACCCAGCTTCACCACCTTGCGTTGGGCATCTGTGATGGCAAAGAGCATGCCACCTCTCTGGCTAGCTGGGCGCACCTGGAATAATACGATGGTGTGAGGAAAAAAAAGACTTTTCGCACGAAATTCAGTCATAAGTGAGTATATGAAGACATTAAAGAGATATTTGTCTTTATTCACAGCTTTTAAACAGGGACAAACATATGAGTCTTGCTTTAATGTCGACATTTCACACGGTGATGACACGAGGAGGCATTCGCCCTCATAAACCGTCATATCTTTAGTTATGACAACCAAGCATGCTGACAATCAAGGAGGCTAAAAGATTGTAGGGTTGAACTCTATAGCATTACCGTGACAATGATAGCAAAGTCCCGGTAGAACGATCCCGGCACAAAGGTTTTGGTGAGTCGGCCGACATTGGCTTGAGACCCAAATTTGTAGGCTGGATGACCCTCAAAGCCAGCAGTGAAGGACACAGAGGGAGGGAGGGGGAAGCCAATTAAGTCCGTCAGGTTCAGATAACTTCCTGCGCCTTGCTCTGACAGAGACAGACAGGAAGAGTATGTTAATAAATGCTGTACGTGAAAACAAGACAACAACACAAAACACACTGCTGCAAGTTTTATTCTTTCAAATCCTTCCCAGAGACACTAAAAATCCTAAATGTGTAGTATATTATATTTAAAGGCTGCAATATTTAGCCTTAAGCCTCCATCTTCATCCCATTTGTCTGCCCTGTGTGTTCCTGGTTAATTCGCCACTTAAAATGAGGAGCAGAGGTACTTGTGATCCTAACACAGTGTTAATTTGACTTGATTTGATCCAGACTCTGCCCACCACGGCTCACCGCTCGGCCTCGTATGGACATAATCCTCAGAAACAGAATAATTAGAGTGCTTGGTGCATATGTGAAGAGACGGTTTCACATTCCCGTGATTCCTCTCGCTGTGAGGCCCGTCTCCCGTGGCGACGCTCACCTCAGCATTCCAGCCGTTATCTAAATCTTTGTCACTTACATGCACGTGTATAAGATCTGCACAAGCTTAAGATCAAACATACAGGTCACCATGTGAACGCACACAAACACCAGATCAGACAGATGAACATTTAGGCGTCTCTCATTCATCAGCCTGGCCAACAGGAAACACCTGATTAGAGGGTTTGGTATGTGTGCCACTGTGTGTATGCATCACTCGGTGCACCACTCACCCTCACGCACATTTACACTTTTCCTCCTGCAAACAAATACACACAACCAAGCCCACACACCTCCAGTCCAGATGTGCAAGCATCAGTATCCTGCTATGGGAGAACTGGATTTACAGCTAGACGTCCTGGTGACGACATCCGGGGTGTAGCAAAGTAATGCAGTAACTTAGAGCCAGTCTTCATTGTTAAAATAATAATAATAATAATACATTTTATTTGAAAGCGCCTTTCAAAACACTCAAGGTCGCTGTACAC